AAGTGAGGAGGAGAGAAAAAGGAAAAAGTGGTGGAGAGAGTCAGAAAAACATTAAGAACGAAAAATGAAATCCCATTCTGTGTGTGCCGCTAATAATAGAGTTGTCTGGAACGTTTTGTTCAATATTGGTTTGGATAATATGTTCAGTTTTGGTTAAGCAAAAATGGCTATGATAGCATCCAGATTCCTACTTTCATCAGCTGTTCTGGAGGAATCGAGGTGTGTGTTTGTGTACAAGCCTGAAGTTCACCTAGGCTTGTTCATCTTATGAGGAACAGAAGGGAGAACATGGGACTTGCAGTCTATCACCTGAGCAGCAGGCTGAAAGCAGGTACATAGGGGAGCTGGTCACGGACTTCTCAGTTATCTTTTTATTTCATTGATAATAATTGTTTCTCAATTTACATCTGTACATGTAAGCTGGCACATGCACACTGATTCAAATCAGTGCCATCTTTTGCGCTTCTCCTTTTTCGGGGGGGGGGGCAATAAATACACTCTTGTTTCAAACCCCCATAACCAAATTGTAAAAGGCAAGCAAATGGTGAAATTTTTAACACCCTCTTCTTACCTGTGAAATCTTGTAGATTTGCAGGATGCTTGCAATGTGTAGAGAAGTTTCAGAGCTAAGTCCCCCAATGACAGCGACCAGATTACTCTGAGTGTCACATTTGTAGTTGGGCTTAAATCTGTTCAGTGTGGAAAGAAATTCAATGGTTGCATGACAGGTCCACATCGCACTGAAATAGCTGTCATAGATGTGGAACCCCAGGGTGACATTGGGTAAGATCTGGCGGTTTTCATTGATCTCCTTTACTGCAAAGGCCAAGGCCAAGACATGCTGGTAATGTTTAGTCAGAAAGCTACAATGACAATGACAGGTTATCTCAAAGGGGCATTTCACTCTTGATAAAACAATTACTGCTGTTTTGCATGCCACCAAGATCGTCTGCTTTGGAGTAGGACACCAATACCACCCCATTGCTGCAGATTATTCATTTATCAGATTTATTTAAAATAGCATCTTGGACAATAATATGATGGACAAAATGGGCACACACACACTTCAAGGAAGTATGCAGAAAGAGCTGTTTCATTTTTCTGCATAACATTGGTTACATTGCATGACTAGGTGCTTGCTGAGCCATTCATGAACATGCACATCCATGTCCAAAGGAAAGTTGAGATGCGGTCTTGATGGGGATGGGCTACCATTAGAATATTAAAATGAACCCCCGCACCACGTTTAAGTCCATGTGCTGCATTTCAAGGCAGGCACACAAGGAAGGAGCCATTCTTTGAAGAGGTTGATGCTCTGTGTAGTTACTTAGCTAAAGGAAAGGAAATACATGTTCACCATGATTTCCTTCCACATTTCCAGAATGTAGGGTTTGTTTGTTTTTTAACTACAGTATTGTTCTTTATTACTATTTCAATAGAGGGGATATATCTCAGATGTAGCTTGGAATTCATTTTTGTGGGGAGAAACAAGACAATTGGAAATACCATTCCAGTTCCCGTCTGTACAAATTATTCCTGCTGCTGGTCTCCTAAACTAATGTATTTATGGAACAGCTGTAATCCAGCGGGAAGGAGCAGTGGGAGGGAGAATGAACTAGAATATTGTGCAGAAGCATTTTTCATAGAATCATAGTGTTGGAAGGGACCCTGAGGATCATCTAGCCCAACTCCCTGTAATGCAGGAATATGCAGCTGTCCTATATGGGGACTGAACCTACAACCTTGGCTTGTCAGCACTGTGCTCTAACCAACATAGTTGGAAGGCTGGAACTCTGAACATGACCCCTCCATATTTCTGGCACTATTTGTTGTAAGCACCACATGCCAGATGATATATTTCCTAAAATGTTCTTTACACATTTTCCCCCCTTACACAAAAGCAAATAACCAACAAGGGAGCATCCTTACACAGGTTCTCGATTCTGTTGCTGAATGGGGTCTTTTTTGAAAGTTTTCTCTTCAGAAAGCAGGATCATTTGAGAAACAATGCCTCTGATGATGAAACCACCTGGTTGATAATATTTGTGAGGAAAAGGGATGGGTTCACTGATGGCACATTTAAGAGGATGCTGCTGGCACACTGCAGGAGTAAGCAGCGCTGCTAGCAACACTGCTAATATCACCATGCTGAGGGCAAATTTGCCCCCTTGGCAGAAATGCCTTTGTTGTCACATTATCTCAGCCAGGTTTTGAACAGCTGCTCCTTGAGTCCTCAGTTATAAAATGTAACATTACTTGTGGGAGTCATAAAGCCACGGCGAAGGCTTGTAATATTGCAGGGTGCCCCCTGACCTCGGCTGACCAGCACTCTGAGCTTTACAATGTATTGGAATGTGTTGACCTTATATGGTTTGTGGGTGGGTTAAAGCCTTGACCGGATGAGGTAACGTGAGACATTGGCAAACAGCCATGCGGCTGGAGAGAGACAAAGGATAATAAAAAAGTTACCGGAGGAGAGGGAAGTTCGAAAGGAGCTGCTCCTACCATCATGAAAATATTGCTGGCTCTCTGTGTCTTTATTTTATGCTAAACTCCGCCACTTGTAACGGCTGGCTCCGACAATTACTGAGATCTGATTGATGCCCTTCTTAGCCCCTAGGTCCAATTCAGAATGCAGCACATTTTAAAAATGATCATCTAGCCTTAATCACAAACTGAGCTAGTGACCACTGGAGCTTCAGGGCGACATATATTAAATTAACATTAATCACAATCATTTTGATAATTACAAAGGAAGCCAGTAATTTCCTAGTTATGGGCTTCACTGTAGCACTACTGAAGAAAGCATGTTTGTCACATCTCAAATCTCCTTATCCTCTCCCTATTGGCCCAGCTAAGTGTGTGTGGCAGTTAAATGACAAATGCAAGGGAAGACCATTGGAAATTTGAAAGTTTGGTCTGGAGTCAGATCAGGGTTAGCAATCTAGACACTGAGGAAACTCTGTACCAACCATCTCCAATAACTCCATCTCACCCAAATCTTGGTAAAGGGAAACACTGCTGATTTGCAGATTCTATAGTGGTTGTTGGAGAACCTAAGACACAGTAGGATCTGCAAATCCTACAGTGCCCAGCTTAAAAGTATTGGTCAGACATTCAGAACTCTCACTATCCCTAACTCTGGTGCAAACCGTAGATTGTACTTCCCCTCCTCTGTATTGTTACTGACATCTATTTTAATTATAACCAGATACCTAGAATTAGAATTAAATACAAAAAGTTACAATCAGTGGCAACTGCTAACATTTTGAGTTGCCAGGCCTGCAATTTTTAACCTTCTTTTTTTCATAACGGTAGGTCTTCTAGTGCTTATTTAATATGCATAGTTCCATTGAAACAAACAAACAAACAAACACTTTGTGCACATATTTGGAAAGGGGAAGACCGTCCATGTAAGTGGCCCAAGTATGATTTTCAGACAAGAGTGATTCCATATATAAAGCTTATCACAAGACATTTTTTTGAATTTGCGTATCCCTTGTCAACAAGTTAAGCACACCAATGTTTTAAAATGTGTGTGGAACATTTGCTTCCAGTTGCATGCAGTTCTCCTCCCTACCAAAATCAATTTAACTTTTCAATATCCAAAATACTTTCTCCCCTCTAGATTAAAAGAACAAAAGTATTCCAACCAATAGATGATACACTGGTTGAAAACTAATGGATTATGGCATTAGTGCAGCTAGCATGAGTTTAACATAAAGTACCGTATACCTCTTATGAAGTATCTGTGACCCTGGTACAAGCTCCTATCTAAGACATGACCTGGAAGGTATAGCAAATATCCTGACCCCTAACAGTTGCAGTAAAGATCAGCATACAAATCCTTGTATTTACCAGAAAGCTTAATTGTCACTTTCCTATATGCAGGAACCAGACTTCAGATAAACAATGAAATTCTGTTTCAAAAGTGAATTTATGAATCACACGCTTTGCTTGACCACAAACCAAGGAATGAGTGAGAGACACTGTTGCCTTGAAGGGGAGAGCTTAACTTTACAAAAGGCACAGATCTCAAATCCCTCACATTGTGTTCTGCTTGTTTCTGGATCAGGAATACCCATCCCTTTTCTTTTCTTTGCGTGGGAGTCTGTAGCACACGACGGCACTCAGTGTCTAGTTAGGGACTCTCTTTGCTCTTTAGGATTAAGGTGTCTGTACTTGCTGTATGAAGCAGCATCAATCTGCATTACCTCTTTTCATTTCCATGTAATAAACCAGTATTTCCCTACTTCCTAGTGTGACAAGTTACTTTTGTTTTTGCCAAAATGATAATTCTAGTCACATATTGACTCCACACAAAGGTACTAATCATCTTGGACCTGTGCATTGAGTTATTGTGTGTGGTGTACAAGCGTGTTTGTTCAGTCATATATCTCATTACACTCTTTTTACCTTCTGCTTGGTTATGAAGCTATCATCCCCTTCTTTTCTTCAGACCGTGGCATACCCCTGCTTTAATCTTTAACCCAATTTCCATGTCTCCCATTCCCTCCTTTTTTGCAACCCCTTTTGTTTCCCCATTTTCACATTCGCTCTCTTTTCCCTTTCACCTTCTTTCTTATCTCAACTCTTCCTTAAACACAGTTTGCCCCATTTCAATCTCGACTCTGCTGCCTGCTTTGCACATGAACTCTAGGCTTTCACTTGTGTGTGTGTGGGGGGGGTGAGGACCCCACTATTAGCATTCAACTCCCAACAAACTCTGTTTTTAGTATTTTTAATTTTTTTTAATTATAAACATGACAAAGGCTCATACACAAAGATGAAGGAAAATATACAGTATGGTGGTTGAGTTGGTGCCGTAAATGTACATCCATAGCAGTGGTTTTTAAAAACAAATAAAAGAAAAAGAAATGGCAAAAGCAAAGCAAAATATCCATCAGTTCAATCATGCTAGTACTGTTTCCATTATTTTACCATCCTTGTGAAGCCTGGGCATTTCATGCCAACAGTTCTTCCCTGAGAACTCTTCTTTTCTATAAGTGTTTCTTTACAAAGTTTGAAATGCTTTTCTTTAATGACTTGGGACCACTGTTTTCTGAAGCATTGCTTTTCTCTGATGGCTTTGGACCACTGTTTTCTGAAGCATTGCTTTTCTCTGATGGCTTTGGACCACTGTTTTCTGAAGCATTGCTTTTCTTTAACGACTTCGGACCACTGTTTTCTGAAGCATTGCCACAATCTAAAAATGGGTACAATGTGTCCCTGGATTTAATGGGGATAGAATCCATAAGGAAACAGCCACCTCTGGAGTTATAAAATGACATTTCCCATTTTTCTTGATCCAGTAACAAACCAATCACTGAATAAGACACATTTTGCTTCTTTTCAATCTCTTTCTCACATGGACTGGAAAAGAATTTTCCTTGGCTGCTTTTGAGAGCCCAGCAGCCTTCCTGAAAGGACTTAACAACCTTTTTCTCTTGGAATTTGTCCCTTTCAGCCTGAGTCAGCACCCCCAGCTCCCAGTCCAACCTCTCTCCTACCTCCACCTCCCAGTAGTGTTTCCCAGCAGCATAACCTTCTTTCCCCACAAAAATCCAAGTTCCCAGAGCAGTTTCTTCTTTCCCTGGGGTGAGAGGTTGAAGGCTGGCTCTTTTTTTATCTTCACTCCTGCTGATTTCTGGATGTTTATAATATGAATCCAAAGTGACAGCAACTATAAGGGAAGCAATCAGAGGGAGAAAGGAAACCATGTTTAGTTCAGGAGTAGTAGATGTTTCAATCTGCCGTAGAAAACACATTTTATTTCATAGCTGACCAATTATAGTTACTGCACAACTTGGATACAGAAACTGAATTTGTTTGTCTATATAGAAATGCCAACACATTTGTGTAGGAACTCAGTACAATAAGAAGACATGGCTGTAGAGGTGTCGTCATCACACCTTCCCCTGTTTCAGAATGTTTTTGTTTTGTTTTTAATTTTACATTGTGTATTTGTTTTCTGCCCGGGGCTCTTTTGAGATTAATTAATAATAATACACATGAGAAAGAGCTCCAGTGCTGACTTTTCTATACAGACAGCCAAATACAAAGTGCAATCCTAATGAAATCTGTTAGCTCCATTCCTCTCTGGTCCATGTCACCTCTGCACTTTCATACAACTGGAGCAAGGATAGGACAGTTTTAGCCGCCCCGATGTTGAATTCTGATTGCCTCAGAATTCATTAAAACTATGAAAGCACAAATTGAATTAATCCATTGCTACTGTGATGTTTTCATATGAAAAAGGACCACGTGAAAAGTCACTGAGTGATGACATTTGAGTCATGTATGCACATCCATACATTAAGCCTAATTAGGACAGTTTCCTTACCTGCGTATTGCTGAGCTCTTCTAACCTCTACAAACAGAAGAGAAAATTTATCAATCATAGAGAACAGAGAAATATCTATGAAACAAGTGAACAACCCAGAATTGAATAAAGTGATTTAGACCCAATTAACATACTAGAAAACAATACTTCAGTTCAGAACAATCATTGCCTCATCAAAAGCCATCTGCCTTACCCAGCTCATTGAAGATTTGACCTGAAGTGAAAGAATATTCCAATTAGTGATATCATTGTCAAAATATATGGGGTTGTGCATCATGACAAACTTAGTCCACATCCTCAACTTATATTTATAGCATTATTATTCCATGACTACCCCTAAAGCATCCTGGGAACTGCAGTTTGTTAAGGATGCTGAGAGCTGTTAGGAGATGCCTTATAGAGCTATAATTCCCACGGTGGTTTAACCATCAATCCTCTGGAAAGTGCAGCTCTGTGAGGGGGGTAATAATAATAATAATAATAATAATAATAATAATTTATTATTTATACCCCGCCCATCTGGCTGAATTTCCGCAGCCACTCTGGGCGGCTCCCAATCAAGTGTTAAAAACAATAAAGCATTAAACATGTAAAACTTCCCTAAACAGGGCTGCCTTCCGATGTCTTTTAAAAATAGGATAGCTGCTTATTTCCTTGACATCTGATGGGAGGGCATTCCACAGGGCGGGCCCCACTACTGAGAAGGCCCTCTGTTTGGTTCCCTGTAACCTCACTTTTCGCATTGAGGGAACCGCCAGAAGGCCCTCGGCACTGAACCTCAGTGTCCGGGCTGAACGGTGGGGGTGGAGACGCTCCTTCAGGTATACAGGACCAAGGCAGTTTAGGGCTTTAAAGGAATAGTGGCTGTGCGTGTTTCCTCACAACTCCAAGCACCCTTAACAAGTAACAGTTCCAAGATGCTTTGGGGAAAGCCATTACTGATAAAGTGGTATAATATTGTTTTAAATGTATGGTGCAGATGTGACCTTGGTCACACTTAGGTCCTATTGAAATTAAAGTAAGAAATTAGTCATGGTGACCTATTTGTCCCATTGATTTAAAGGTGGACTAAGTGCAACTAACCTAATCTGGATCCAACCTAAGCAAAATATATTGCAGGATAAACTCATAATACTATTATATATTTGGAATTCTATATAGTACTAACTATACATGAAATAAATGTTAGCAAAAAATAATTCTGATCCAAATTGCAAAATACAGTACTTTCTCCTACCAAAATGCATGCCACCATCCTACTCCTTCCTTATTAATTCAATCCCTAATCCCTGCCTCCAAATCCATACATCAAATTTTGTCTCACCAACACGGCGTTCCAATTCACAAACACCTATAAAAGAATGACTTGAATTAGAACAATGAAGAGTTAAGAAAATGAACGAGAAGAGGCGAATGACTAAGATGTGAGGTCAAGCTACACAACTGAAAATCCATATAGGTCCTATGTTGCTTTCAGTGCATACTAGATGCAAAACCCACAGTGCTGCTCCCTGTGACCCCCCATGACCCCTTGTTCCTTGCCACTGCCAGGCATCCACCCCCTGGTCCTCACCACTGCTGGCTGTTCATCTCCTCCTTCCCCACTGCAGCCATGTCCCTCCTATGTGTATCATGAAAGCTGTTATTATCACATATAAACTTTTATGATAATGAGTTATTTCACTGCCCCAAGAACAATGAATGATTCATCAGCACAACATCCAGTAAAGTTATTTCTTTAGCAATCAATAGGTGGGCTTGTTCCCCATGCTCTTTATTCTACTAGGTACATGGATTTGTTTATTTCATTTTCTATTTTTTAAATAATTTTTATTATTTAAATTTATTATTTTTATTTTCTATTTTGAAAATAATTTTTATTAAAGATTTTCTTGGGTTATAAAAGTAGGTGCATTGTCTCTATTTTCAGGTCACAGAGTCATTTTGAGATGTATATCCAACCCTTCCTCCCAAATGCCTATCTGGAGATCGGGAAGAGAGAGAAACCCCAAGGGCTCTCTCAGTGCCAACCCAAGTCTGCTGCTGGCCTTTGGTTGTGTATCAAGGAGCTGGTAAGAAAGGCTCACATAAGTGCAGGAAAGAAGCTTGCAGTTTATCAAAGACTATGGGCACTTTGTGGCTAGTTATTCATTCAAAGGACACTCACTTGCTTGTCCTGTGCGTTTCTCAGTTTCTACAACAATAAATGAAAAAGAGTAAATCTTAGCACACATATACCCAGCTTTTCCTTCAGTTCCTGGGATACTTGGTTTAATTTGAGCAGAACACTGGCCTGAAGCAGCCCACCCTCCATTCATCATAATTTCATAGCCTCTGTCCTCCTGCAATTGTGCAGGTTACTTTCCTATGGATACCTGTATGATGTGTGCTATTCTCATACTAACATCACTGCTCTCAAAACCACAGACAGGGAAGCAAATTTCTTTTAATTTGGTTTGTGCCCAGCACAAAACAACCCTACACTTATTTGTCCATAATTTGGAAGATTTCTTTCCCAGAAGAACTTCTCTCATATACACTGTTTTCATATATGACTGTAAAACAACAAGGCAATTTATGTGGCTTATTGTTAGCTACCTCAAATGGAAAGTCTACAGAAACTTTGCAGCAGGTATTCTTTTTAATTTTGGAAGGATTCATTCCCACTGAATGGGGAAAAAAAAAACATGCCTGACAATTTCATCCAATTCTTCCAAAAATAAAGGTTAAAGACCAAAAGGGGAAATAAGCAAAGTAGAAGTTTTACACCGAGCACAGAGGACAAAAAACAAAAACAAAATCAAAACAAAATCTTGGACCTCTTTGCCTGTAATTTGGCAGCTGTTATTCCCTCTGGAAGCACTGGCTGTGCTCCATTGGCTGTGCTCCAAAAGGCATGTTATGGGTCTGCCCAGAGGCTCACATGGGAGAGAGAGGAAAGTGATGACCACTTCAGTTCACCAGCCAAGCTGTAGCCATGGGCAGAGGGGGGAGGCAGTGGGGAGAGAAATTGGGCTGCAATCCTGCTGGGGTGGAAACAGCTCTTCCTGACTTAGCTTCTGCATGAGAGAGTTCTATCTAACAGTGGATCTGAAAAAAGCAGGAGGCAGAAGGTGGCTTTTGGCAGATCTACCGTGAAAATTACTGGAGCCAGTCAATGCTTCAGTTGTGACCATACATAGGCAGTGGCAGGGCTTACCCACAATGTTTTACCGCTTGAATTCCTGGTACATTATAAGTCACACGTTTAAACCAGAAGAATACATATATTATTCTTCCTATTTTTACCCCCCCCAACATATAAACATGATTACATATCTCCTTCTCCTTGGCTTCCTCTTCTCTAGCTAATGGATCTAGTTCATCCTTTCCTTTCTTGATATATCTGGAAGACCCTTATCAGCCCAACTCCAAGTTGTCAGCATTATGGAATGCCTTCAGTTTGAAATGCCTCTTGCGCTTGTCAATTTGAACATGGTTCCAGGAATAAAACATCATAGCAATATGAAATGCCTAGACAGGAGATGGATCGATGAACCTATACTGCAGAAAATTGGGCTTTTGAAATCTTGCAAGGATAGAAGAAATCCTTCCTATATATAAAAGGGAGCTTGAGAAAAGGGAAACAATCTGATCTTACCTATTGCTTCGGTTACATGATTTCGGTCTGAAAAGAGTGATAGCAAAATGTTAGTCATACACACTCTATACATACATGTAAGTATGATTAATCAAGAATTTACTTCCACAAATATAGCTAAAGGGGTATCTTTTGTGGGGAGAGTCCCTTCTACTACTCTGCCTGTTAGTTACTATTGCCAACACAACTACTATTAATAATACAAGTTATGGTATATAAAGCATTAGCTTGACAAGGTATCTTGAGGATGTGACAGGATTATTTCTTCCTTGCTCAACTCAACCCAACCTCTACTATGAATAGTTTCAGTCACCAAGGCTACTGTATGACCATCCACTCATATAGCTATTCCAGCACATTAAGTTTTTCCAGGTAATAAGAGCGTTTATTTATTTATTTAAAAATTCTGGGGCTCACTCATTTATTGTGGTTAAAATTTTGCTATCTTTCTCCTGCTCCTCTTTATTGGGATTTTAAAAAAGTGTTACTGTTAGTCACCCTGAAAACAATACTGATGGGGGAGGCATATGCTAAAAATATAAACAATTATGGAACACTACTATAGAAGATGTGCATCTCTCTTAGAGGCATTTACCTGCTTGTGCTTCATTCATCTGTATTTCTGCAGAAAACAAGATGCATTGCAACATTATTCATTTATTTACTGAGCATTATATGCTGCACTGTATCTGTTTAGAAAGATGTGCAGACCACTTAATCATAAAGCTTTTAAAGTGATGCACACACTGAAACAATTGGTAAAACTCAGCTAAACTCAGTTAAAACCCACAAGACTGATTAAAAAGTATACAAAAGATAAATATCACTGAAACAGAGCATAGATAACTACGTAAATATATATCTGGGGAGACTTGCTGAAATAAAGAAGTTTGTGGCACCTGTAAAAGTGTAGGTTCTGCGGACTGAAACATTCAAATTGGCATGTAAAGTGGTTCCAAATTGTTAATGGCTTTTCATACTAATAGTAATACCTTCAACTTAGCTTAGTAACAAAGTTGCAGCCAGTGCAGCCAGTATTGCAGCATTCTGCACTGACTGCAGTTTCCAGATCAACCACAAGAGAAGTCCTGTATAGAATGAATTACTAGGGTCTTGGCATTTCCAATGACTGATCTCTTGTGGTCAAGCTATCACAGTTCAGGAATGATTTTAGCTGTGGCACCTGCCCAAGGTGATAAAAGGCACTCCTAGCCACCAGTCACCAGGGATTCAAGTGGCAATATTTAAGGCAGGTGTCATCTCCAGAAACAGAAAGCATGCATTTAATGCTTCTCTCCAAAACAACCAGAAATTAATTGTAGCCATTGTGGATTCCCCCACTTCTTGGTTACATCTAACAAATCATAATCAAATTAGACTCACTATAATCAGCGATCTTATTTCAATTGGTCCTACAGCTCTCAGCAGGAAGATGATGTCTGAGCATGACTTCATCTACCAGACCCTGTTTTCCAAGGACGCCCCTGATTTAGAGAAGTCGTCCCAGTTTCTGATTTGATCTCAGAGTGTCCCACTTTTCCTTAGGTTGTCCCCATTTTCATTGGAGAAATGTTAGAGGGTTTGGAGTTATTTGACTCCCAAGCTGTCTGAAGGCAATCCTGTATAGTTGTTTTTTTTTTAATGTTTAATTTTTTAATTGTGTTTTTATATATGTTGGAAGCTGCTCAGAGTGTCTGGGGTATAAATAGTAAAATTATCATTATGGAATGGGACATCCCTATTTTCATCAGAGAAATGTTGGAGGGTATGATTTTAATTGTCCATCACTTAGAGACATCTTTGATACTCAAAATGTATCTTGACTGCCCGTCATCAGAAGATCAGATAGCAAAAGTGTGAATATAACTAATTTACAGAAAATATGAATACAATTTTAAATCAACAAATAATCATTTTAAAAGGCAAATGAAACCCCAGAAAAGCTAAATAACAGAATATTCCATGGTTAGTCATAGTTGAATAATAGGGCTTGATGCTCTGTAGAGGTGGAATTTGTTTTCATCCAAGGAAAGAAAAATAGATGCGCCAGGGAATTTGATTATGATTCTTTATACCTCTCGCAATAACATTGTAGTGAACTCCCCATCCCTTACATAAATGATATGTATAAAATATGTCATTGTCAGTTACTCACCATACTGAGATAACTTCTGGTAATTCTCTGAAATAAATATAGCAAATTATAGAAATCAGACAATTTATTTATCTGACAGTCCTTATTTCTCTTAATACACACATCTCGGAAGGCTATTTCTTTTAATATGATGCATTATTTTCACTAATACAGTGGTACCTTGGGTTACAAACGCTTCAGGTTACAAACACTTCAGGTTACAAACTCCGCTAACCTGGAAGTAGTACCTCGGGTTGAGAACTTTGCCCCAGGATGAGAACGGAAATCGCACGGCAGCAGTGGGAAGCCCCATTAGTGATAGTGCGCCTCAGGTTAAGAACGGTTTTGGGTTAAGAATGGACCTCTGGAACAAATTAAGTTTGTAACCCAAGGTACCACTGTATATGCATTTTTTGTGTATACTTTCCCCTAATGTATTTCAGGTTGAAAAAATGAATCACAAAATTCAATAAATTTGCATTTTGGTTCGCGTCCTGGTTTGCTGAGTCCAACATAGGTAGAACCACATTAAAATGTAAACTGCACTAAATTTGCCAACTACGGTATCTGTTGGGGAAGTGACTCTGATTGCCTGAAGCAGCTTTTAAACTATGCTCATTTTAAAGCAGTTTAAGGAGCAATTACTGGCTGTAGTAAATACGTATTGATTTAACTGGTATGTACCCTATTTCTTCTCTATATCTAAGAACACACCACTCATTTTAATAAACAAGGGTACAAAAAACCAGAAAGTTTCTGTAACAGTTCACATCTACAGTTTAATGGGATTATGAAAATGACAGATTTAATACTTACGTCTGACTTTGTACCCAGCACCAGCAAGAAGGCAGATGAAAATCAACAGAATGATTAGGAAGGGTGCTAGCCAAGGGGAAGTGGCAGGGTAAAGGGCATCTGAAACACACATTAAAATCTCAGTTACAGCAAAACTAACCCAACCGGTTTCAAGTTGCAAAACTAACCAGAGTCTGACTTTGCCACTCACCTCCATTGCCCCAAATTCTCCTGAACTTCCCATTTTGGGAGGAATTGAGCTGGAGTTGTGGCAATAGGGGTGCTTCAGCTGTGACCTGCCTGCCTCTCTGGTGAATAGTGAATATGGGAACCAGCAGACACTTTAGCCATTACCCCAGATTATAACTGATGAAATGCTGCTGAGCAGAACTACAGTTCTGGATAATCTGGATAATCTGTTCAAACAAAGAGCCTTGTGTACTTCAGACGCATTAAAATTGAATTAATTTCCCAAACCTCTCTCTTCCTATATAGTAAAGGTAAGGTAAAGGTAAAGGTACCCCTGCCCGTACGGGCCAGTCTTGACAGACTCTAGGGTTGTGCGCTCATCTCACTCTAGAGGCCGGGAGCCAGCGCTGTCCGCAGACACTTCCGGGTCACGTGGCCAGCGTGACGAAGCTACTCTGGCGAGCCAGAGCCGCACACGGAAACGCCGTTTACCTTCCCGCTAGTAAGCGGTCCCTATTTATCTACTTGCACCCGGGGGTGCTTTCGAACTGCTAGGTTGGCAGGCGCTGGGACCGAGCAACGAGAGCGCACCCCACCGCGGGGATTCGAACCGCCGACCATGCAATCGGCAAGTCCTAGGTGCTGAGGTTTAACCCGCAGCGCCACCCGCGTCCCTTGTACTAAAAACACATTGAAAACCTTTAACCTCTTGGCCCTTTTGCTTCACCCCTACTCACCAGAAATCAGGATTCTCGATTCGCTCTCCATCCCTAGCAGTTCGTTGATGATTTTGCAAGAGACTTCATGGTCAACTCCTGATTCTGTTGTAATGGAACTGGAAACACTGAAGTTCCCTGCCTTGGTCTCTGTGATTGTAGTGTCTGACTGTTTACTTCGAACTTTCCCTTCACTGACCAGCCAGAAAGCCTTGGGCTTTGGGTACCAACCGTTGGAGCGGCAGGTGAGGCCAATCCCCCAGCCTTTATAATCCACCAAGGCAATGGTGGGCTCTGTTCCTTTTGCTGCACAAGAAGAACACCACATATTAATTCTCCATCATTCCAAATATAATAGAACCTATCTAGAGTTTCTGCACTCTGACCAAACACCAGGAATGATACTTTATTACAGTCAGTTCTTACAGTACAAATTTTGTGCCAAGCTACCATTCAAAATTCCTTTTTTTGTATTGTATTGTATTGTATTGTATTGTATTGTTGAACTACAGGACGATTGGTCCTGTGAGTAACGCTCATGGCTGCGAAGAGATGGAGAAGTCTGAATGAATGAGTTACTGACCTGGGTTCTACAGTTTTAGGTTTGACAACTTGTATTTCTGAAAATGTGTGCTTAATAAGGTCCACAGCACCTGGCAGTGTCCCTGCCTCCTCAGACTTGTTCAAGAAGAACATCCAGGAGTTAGATGTAGGTGGTGGAGGCAGCAAGGCTTGGCTGCTGCTGCTATTCTTCATGTGCTCCTCTCTCTTCTGCAGCCATGCATCTTGTGCCAAGTGTCCATGCATACTCTTAACCCCATCCTCTGCTAGAACCCTGCCCACTTCCTTTTCTTCCTCTGCTCTCCCTCCCACCACAGAGCCCTGAAGAAGGTGGTTAAGTGGCAGACACACACACCACATATGCAAAAAAAAAAAAAAAGCAATTGGCTTCTGTGGGCTTGAAGCCTGTAAGCTTGATGCAGAGTCTTCTAAAAACATGGTATTCCCCCAAAGGTGCTCTTGCTTACCTGGAGATTCAAGTCCTCTTTCTGCACCCTGGAGTGGGGCAGGCAAACCTAGAGACTCCAGGTCAGCCCCAGAAGTTTGGCAGCCCTAATAATAAGATTAATAAGAATAAACTCACCTGCCAAAACCAACTCAACCACCACCTCCTCATACCAGTCTCCAAGGAAGACCATACAGGTGTAATTTCCTTGGTCAGACAGATGGGTTTTCTTCAGAATCAAAGACATGTTTCCTTTATTAAGATCAGTATGGGAAAGCTCAGCTCGACCTCGGTATCTGTTATCCTGTGTTTCTGGCCTGTTTCGACCATAATAGGATTTCACGTCAATTTTTTCTGAGGATTTATCCAAGATCCACTGGACCTGCATGCTGGTGCTTTCTGGTATGCTTGAAGTTGTTAATTGACATGGCAGGAGCACTTCTTTTCCAAGGAAACCAACTATAGGGTTTTCGGGTGGAATGATCGCAAATTGACCTTTGGGGAATAAAAATAATAATCAAAAGTTCACCTTAAATTGACCACTACTGGCAGTGATTCCTCCGTGGAATTCTTTTTTGGGGGTGGGAAGATATGGCACCCATGTAAGAAGTGTAAGATTCTGCACTCAGGCAGGAAAAACCAGCTTGCCAATAGTACATTTGAAAAGGATCTAGGGGTTTTAGTGGACCACAATCTGAACATGAGTCAACATTGTCATGCTGTAGCAAAAAAGCTATTGCTATTCTAGGTTGCATCAACTGAAATACAGTCATATCTCGGGTTACAGACACTTCAGGTTGTGTGTTTTCGGGTTGCACACTGCAACCCAGAAATACCGGAAAGGGTTACTTCCAGGTTTCGGCACTTGTGCATACGTAGAAGCGCCAAACCATGACCCGTGCATGCGCAAACGCAGTGTTGCGGGTTGTGAATGCTGCAGGTTGCAAACTTGCCTCCCACACGGATCACGTTCGCAACCCGAGCTTCCACTGTATAATGTTCTGAGGAAGAGAAGCAATAGCCCCACTCTATTCTGCAGAATACTGATGAACTTCAGGACAGTAAGAGTTGTTCAACAGTGGAACAGATTCCCTTGGAAAGTGGTGGACTCTCCTTTATTGGAGGTTTCTAAGCAGAGGTTGGATGTCCATGTGTCACTGATGTTTTAGGAGAGGTTCCTACATTGCAAGAGGTTGGACTAGATGACCTTTGGAGTCCCTTCCAACTCTTGGATTCTATGATTCTAAGAAGCATGTTTTGCTCAGCTGTAATTTGCACCAGTTATCTTCAACATTTTTCGACCCAGAACCTACTTTTAACCCAAACATGCATTTGGAGATTCATTTCTTAGTCTTTTATCACAGATTTGCATGGTGGGAGTACCTATTACTGGGTTCTGAGCCACCAGTTGAAGACCAGTGCTTTACACACAAGCATTACCTCAGAGCTGAACTGCTCACTGCAGTAAACCTTACAAAAGTAGCTTGCTTACCTACAGTTAGCACATGGGAGATTTGCAGAAAGATCAAGATGCAAACAGTTGTTGATGAGAAAGACATGGGTCAAAGATCTGAAGAATAGGACTATACCTGTACAATTGTTGGAAGAAAGAAATCAAATATAAAATTGTAAGATCCACTGGTCACCATTTATTAATTACTGTCAACAGTTCTGTCTACTTTATTTAAATAAATATAGGCATCTTTGTACATTAATCTTCATGTAATGTACTTTGGCTTTGTTAAAACTTTATTTATGCTATATATACCAAGAATGGTATACCCATATTTTCCGCTCTATAACACGCACCAGACCATAATACGCACGTAGTTTTTAGAGGAGGAAAACAAAAAATATATATTCTAAACGAAATAGTGGATATATGATTTTTGTGGTTCATGCTGTGGCCACAGACATGTGATCTGACAGTGAGTTTGGAGTAGCCCAATGCAAAAATCCTGAGGATCCATGTGGATCCATGCTTTGTAACCATGGAGGAGGGAAGGAAGGGGAACCATGGATCCTCTGCTCACGACTGCAGCAGATCCCCCCCGCCACCCGCAGGCATTCGCTCCATAACACGCACAGACATTTCCCCTTACTTTCTAGGAGGAAAAAAGTGAGTGTTATGGTGCAAAAAATACGGTATATTATGCAAATCTGTATCTTCTTTTGCAAGTGGGTCAGAGGGTCATATTCAAAACAGTGTTTTGTTTTGTTCTTCCTGGTAGCCAAGCTATTTTTGAAGTTTATTTTTCTATTATGCTGTATTTTTGTTATTCTGATTATCTTGTTTTGAACTTATTATATTTATATATTTATTGCATTTATTTCACACCACTTTTCAGTCAATGCAGTTGAGGTCGTTTACAATTTTAAAATAGTAGAACACAAATGTAGTGACAGAGACCTCTCAGGTTGACTGACAACTGATGGTATTTGCTCCTGGCCTCGGCTTCCTTTCCATCTCTCAGGGCAGATGGGACTTTAATAGCCCCAGAGAAGGTGAATGAGGGGCTGTCTCAGTAGTTTTCTCAGGCCACCTATCAGGAGCTGATTTGCTATGCTTCCTAGCCTGGGCATCCCAGTTTCTGATTTTCCTCAAGGAACACAGTAGCCCTAGGGACACTGGGGGAGGGGCTGCCTCAATGATTCTGTCAAGTCAATTGGGTAGTTTTGTCAGAAATCTGATATGGACTCTCTGGCCTGGGCTCACTTGCTTTTATGGATTAATATGGATAGTGATTTTTTGGTTATGCATTTGATCTGTACTGCTTTGAGCACAAAGTATGTGGGGAAATGGTACACAAATAAAGTGGCAACAATACTGGTAAGACTTTCTTCACTTTCCCCTAGAGTTGGAAGCAGCTTGAAAAGAAGATTGCTACTTATATAGTATACATTCAATCCAGCATCCCTGTTTGTCTATTCTTCTACTCCTTCTCCACAAAAGAAATGTATTGCATATATACTGTAGTAAAAAAGATGAATTCAAAAGCCATCTACTCTGTCTCTATTGTAAGTGGATGGATGATGTTTTTCCCCACATCTTGTCAGCATTTCAGGAAATCGGATGCCCTGTTCCAATATTGTTAAACCACAATACTAAATTTTTAAAGTCACAGGTAAATAGTGTTGTGCAGCACCATCTATGTATGTCACACAGTTACTGCTGTTTCTGTCCTACACCACTCACTAATCCACTTTCCTCATGTAAATGTTGATACAGAGCTTTTCACAACACAACATATTGAGGTATAAGAAATATTCCCATAATGGGAAACTGCATCCTCTGAAGTGAAAAACAGGTTTTGTAGAAAGGGTCTAGAATTGGCTAGTTATGCATATGCAGTGAAATGAATGACTATATGGGAGATCCATATTTAACTGAAGAGCTTGAGAAGCAAGACAAACCCTTCAAGTTGAGAGATGGTCAATGACATCCCAGACTCAGAAGACCAGGAACTTGGTGGAAAAAAGTCTGAGACGTCCCATGGCAGAGCTAACTCTGTGTGCCAAGGGATAAATATCACTAGCCAGTGTCAAATGGGAGTGGCAAAGAAGCAGCCATTTTATGTCCATTACAAATGAAAGAAGCAATGACGAGTATTCAGGCTTGTGTGGCTAGGAAGGATCTCTGCAGAAAGGAGAAAGTCACTTTCATTCTTCTTTCAAACACACACACATTTATATTTGTAAACTTACATTTTGCATGGAAGCCCCTGAAATTTATTATCATAAGTATATTTGCAAATGTGACTTGAAAGTTTCTACACGAAGATAAACTAATCCTATATATATCCTGAATGGAAGTAAAGGAAAAGCTTCTCTCCTTTCACCTGACCACCAATCCATCATTAAACAAACACATTCCAATAACTAAAAAATTAAATGTAATTATGGAAATATTTGTCTTACCTTGTAGCAAACTGTGAGATTTGTCGTCAGTTCCTGTACCTTGCTCCCGCTTCAGGTGGACCTGTGTTACGTTAATTATTTACTTTGATTTTCCTGCTCTGCATCAAGATAAGTAACTGCCAACACTTTGCTCTATGGTTAATGGCCCTGTGACAGTCAGCACCTGCCTCCAAAGGATAAAGGAGTGTCCCAAGCAAACACTAAGCTCCACCGATACTTGTAGAGCTAATGCAGTGATGACAGGGCTTCATTTGAAAGGACAGTCCTATATGAACGGCTCTCTACCCCAAGTCTGGTTTAAAGATAACCTTAAGGGAGAACAGAGACCTTGAAGTACTGCAGCAACAATTAGCGTCAGGACAACAGCTCGACAGTCACACAAGGCTCCTGGTCACAGACTTCCGTTCTATGATGAGCTGTGTTGAATTTCTATTTAAAATATAGCAATTATTTCTAAATTTGCATCCACATGTAATGTATAAATCAGAACATGCAAACTGATGCCATCTTTTCCTGATTTGTTTATGCTACTAACGTTAAAGGAGGAGATTCAACAGCATGAGCAGGCACACAGCTCATTCATTTTAAATCACGATAGACCAGGCAATCTGAATTAATGCAGTGAATGTGCAACTTAGCCCTGTTTATTGCCTTGCTTGCTACAAATCTATTTCTACTCAGCTATGGTTTCTTTCTTCTCAATAATTTGATGTGATTGGCATCCACATGGAAGAGTGCACTTTCAATGGTGAGGTCAAACTGTTGGAAAGTTACAGCGCCTGCTGTGGCTGTGGAAACTGATACCAGAGACACATGTTTTCCTACAATTGTGCTGCTGTAGAGGCTCCATGGTGTTTATTCTCTCTGTGCTCCTCCTAGTGGTTATTCCTCTTCTGGTCACTGCTGTAGATGTACAACCTGACTGTCTGTCTCCAGGCACTAAGGTCATCTGCAAGGGATTCCCATGTGACCGGGTTAATGTTGGCAGCCTTCATGACACATCTACAGACATTTGATGTACACAACAACATTTACTCTTAGATCCTGAGATTGAGAAATGGCATCTGTCAAGAGCACACAATGTCAAGTTCTCATGGGCTTTCTTGCTGGAGGTATGTCTCATTGTGCCACCACCAAAGGGTTCTTTAGAGCAGGTACAATGGACATGTGGGCACAGTCCAAGGTGTACCAGCTGCTTACAAGGTAGAACAGCACCTGAGCCCTTGAACTGGTAAGCGGTGGCTTTGCAGGATGGCTCTGCTGCCCCCAATGAGATCCACTGATGGATACCTCTTACAGTAGTCTCCTGCTGGTGGAGAAGCCTATTGGCTCTCTCCACTGGTTAGAATTCAGGGTCCAACATCTTCTGAAGGGTATCAGGTTTGAGAAGGTTGATTTAAATCCATATGACGGATTTAACTGTGCCACTCTCTTATAGTTTACCAGTATATTTAAATCTCTGCTTCTAAACACACACTGTCTTTTGTTGTGGTGTAAGACTTTCCAGTAACTCCCCCTTTCACTGTCCAGCTTTCAGACACATGGTTCTCAAAGTTTCCTTCAGAACTTTTATTTTCTTCATCCTTGCTCAATGGTAACATGACATGCAGCGCACCCAGTAACTAACAAGGCTTTCCGATAAACAGCTGGTAAAATCCAGATATGTTATGTGCTTATGTAAGATTTATTATGGGCAGCTGTAATATATATGTGACCTGTCGACTTGTTGGATATTGTTGGTGTGTGTGTGTATAAATATTACTAGAACCACTTTATATGAGATTAAGAATGGACTCATTTCCTACTCTGCTTGTTAAAGGATTATCACTGTTTTTGTATTTGAATTTCAAACTTCATGAGTCTACACAATTGAAAGTGAAACAGGAGCACCCACATTTAAGGTAGTGGCTTCAGCGCACTCTGGGACCTCCCAGGTATGCAGAAGTGGATATATTTTAGATAAAACATGAAATAAGAACTGAGACTATTCATTGGCTTCCAGGTCCATGAGGCTGTCAGTGGGGAAGCAGAAATCAGCCTCTTGAACCCCAAACACTATAAAGTATCCTTTAGGGAGAATTACAGTGGGATGACTACCAGAAACTGTTCACACATAAACAGCAGTAAAGCAGTTAGGCTGGGAGTGGGGAGGGGCTGTTGCAGTCTGTAACCCCTATCCCTGAACTGGCAAGTGAGTGTGAGCCCAAGTTTTGAGAATTAGGCCCTAAGTCACATGATCATGCTATATTGCATTTGGAATAAGTGCATACCTCTCCTTGCCCCATCATGTCCCTACCACCCCCTTTTTACACTTACACTGACTTATGTTTCACCAGTAGGGATTTATGCTGATAAATATCTCCAGCTCAGCCAGCACAGGGAACTTAACCAGCATTGCCATGGCTCAGATGGGAAAATCCAAAAATAATAACAATAATAATTATAATATATTTATATGCCACCCATCTGACAGAGTTACCCCAGCCACTCTGGGTGGCTTCCAACAAATTAAAACACAACACGACATGAAACATTTAAAACATCCCTATACAGAGCTGCCTTCAAATGTCTTCTTAAAGTCAGATAGTTGTTTATTTCCTTGACATCCGATGGGAGGGTGTTGCACAGGGCAGGCACAACTGCTGAGGGCTCTCTAAACTCTCTTATCCGGACAGATCCTGGGCTTCGACCACACTGCTATTTTAGAATATAGGATAATCTCCAACATTCTCATGTGTGAAGGAGAGATTGATTACTTCATCTTCCTATATAACAAACCAATAGGCAAAATACATTTGCCACGATTTCTATGCTTTCTATGATATCCATATTTATAGGCCTAGGATGTCAGCAAGCTGAATTCCCAGGTATTTTTATTGTGTTGAACAGACAAGTGTACCATTATTAACACAACAGAATGAACATCACTTTCATAATTCCATATACCTGTGGTTACATCATTTAATGTTTGACATTACCAGTGAAATTTCAATCAGACACAACCAGGAGGATATGGTAGAATTTGAAGGTTAAGTGCATATAACAGTAGGAAAACACATAAAGGATCTTTGCATGGTTAGAGGCAGGAAAGAGTAAATAAAATAAACAGAAAATCGGATGAAAATCTTCTCAGATCTTCTGGGAGCTGTAAAGCTTCCAAATTCCTCCTGTTCTAGCATTTTCAAACTTCTTCCATATTATCAATTCCCGTAAATTGTTGTGCATTGTGAGGATGCTGCATCGGCATGTGAAATCTTTGAGGTCTCTCAGGCAGGTTCCATGTGCAATGGAGTAATAGTTGCATAGGCTGTTGTTTCTATATTTCGGATTGGTGATGGCTTGGAAATTGAAAAACAAAAAAATAACAGTTACCTACTGATATTGGCTGTTTGGCAGAAGTAATTTGGGGCCAATTGTTGTTATGGCAAGAAAAAACTGCTAACCTACCCAAAGAATATCTGGAATATATTTGTAGTTTTACACAGTATTCCAGGGTCCTTGGTACATTGGTGAACCCAAAGGGAGTGTGAGTGGGGCAAACTACAATAGTCCACTTCCTTGGGTAATAACAGGCCAATGCAGAGCTTGTCTGAGGCCCAGAGAGGGAGTTTTGTTAGAATAAAGTTCTTGGCATGACAGTGTAAGTCCAGAGGACCCCTGACACCCCGCCTCCCCTCCCCCTGGCCAGCTTAGCCCTCCGAGTCCTGGGGCAAGTGTACTGAGCAGCCCCCTACCCCTGAAAAGCCCTGGGTAATGCACTATATAAACCCCAGATTTGGCTGAGATGTTTTACTCACCGCTGTTTGGAGGAGTCCTGTAAGTTTGGCATCTGAAGACAAATTCACAGTTAGTCTAATCACACAGTACATCTTCAAAGATGTGTATAAGTATGTGTACTTCTGCGTACAATTGTAACATGTATCAACCTTTTAGGAGTGGTTCATCCCTGATCATCAGGCTCTTTCCTGAAGCTATCATTTGCTTCAAAGACAACAATGCCCATGCAGCTCCTCAAGGCCATTGCCATCACTGACACCTCCTGTCTGTTCTGCTAGTATTGAGCTTCTCCAGAGAAAGGTGTCTGAAAATCAGTCAGATACTGAGTGACCACAGAAATGCCAGCACTGACACAAACACACCTCACAGGCCCCATTCACTCACCAAAGTGCCAATTTGCTTTTCCAATTTGCTTTTCCAGAGCAGAAACACCTCTTGTTTGCTATGTCAAGACTTGTTTCTGTCCTACTCTTCAAAAGGAAGAGGCAGGGTGTGTGTAGCTCCTTGGATCAATGTCTCAGTTCACACTTAGCCATACAATTCACCTGCTGTACCTTTACTCTTGCTTTGCCTGGATATCACCCAGGTCTATGCATTAAAGGGTTTGACAGAAACAGAAAGTTTGAGTTCATCATCCGACAGCAAGGGTCAGGACCAGCATTTTGGCTGGGTCTGATGAGAGCTATAATCCAACAGTGTCTGGATGGTTGTGCTATCCTGAGAACGCATCTGACTAAGAGGTCAGGGAGGGCAACAGAAACAGTTGTATAACACAGGCCTGCAAAAATAGCTCTCTAGAAATGCGTATCGCAATCAAATTCAACCATTCTGGTAAGGCTACATTGAGAGAAGCCTTCCAAAATAGCTATGTGGGCATCCATGCTTGTTCAATGCGTCATGTGGGTGAGGAACCACAGCGAGAGCACTCTCTCCCACAGCCCACAACTTCTATAAATAAGCCCATTCTACCAAGTAATGTGTTACAATTTTTGTAGGCAGGCATGAACCAGAAGCTTCACTTAACTGCAGAAAAATCTAATTTCTCCTGGAGACACAAGGGTTTACATCTGAGCTCATTGGAATGCAGCTGCATAACAAAATAAAACCATTGTATCTTCCATTAGGTTTGGAGAGTTAAAGGATTTTTAAAACTTAATTAATTTTGTGGTTTTCATGTTCCAGAACATAATATTTGTATCCTAAAACGAAATTCTGCCTTTCATGCACAAACCTCCAAGGGAATGTATAACAATACTAAAAAGTTACACCTGAATTCAAAGTTCTTAATCCTTCATTTTAGATATTTCAAACACATTTTACAGTCACATGATTAGGTGAAGTGCATATCTCTCTTCCTAGTTTTTCAGCAGAAACATGTATATACTCGTTTTTAGAGCATTTTTCCACAGTCGCAAAGTCTGCAAACTTAACTATTCAGACCAAAAAAGATAAAGCTGCTAAACATTCTGCAGATCCTCTGAATGTCTGCTAGACTTTGTGGTTGTCATGACCCTCAATCCAAAGGGAGAAAAGAATTATCTTACATTGAACTTCTTCAGAGGCCAGGTTTCTGCTGTTGTCCTTGACTGCAGTTTCTTCCCTAAGAAAAGCAATAGACAAAAGCATTTGTGATGCTGCATATTTACTGATCCTGTAGGCAGAAAGCCTTTTCTGAGAAGGATGAGATCTGCATTCCTTCACACAACCATGAATGATACAAATGCAGGAGATCTGAATTTTTAAACTTGGTTTAAATAGTCACATGAAGCTTCAAATCTGATAGGAGCAGCAGTAGAATTGTTTAGGCAACAGCAGAAGGCTCTTGTTAGTTCATTCATGTATTTTCTTCCCCTGTACCACGTCTCTGATCTAAATCCCTCTGCTATTTGTCCAACAGTGGCAGTGGGGAAATGCAGGGACCTTGCTGGAAAACAGCTTAGGGAATGTGTAAAAAACAAGAAGCAAAACCCCACACATTCTCAACAATAGGGCTGAACAAGGAACATGGTGCATGAGAAAAGATCGTTTTGCTATGTTACTATGAACTTGTTTTTGGAGTGCTTGAAATATATTCCCATTTTCTTTGTTTCTAAGCAGCTTTGAGCATAATTTAGTGTGTGTGTGGGGGAAGTGGCATACAATTAAAGTGAATGAAGAAATGAAACTCTTACACATAATCATAAGGAATGTGCTCAGTATTGGCTCTGTCCTGCCTTGAAGATCTCTGAAGACACGGCACTAAAACAAAACAAAAAAGAGGCAAAGAAGCTGTCATAAATTAGGGCTGCCATATGTCCAGATTTTCCTGAACATTACTGGGATTTCAAAGGCGGAATTGACGTCCGGGTGGAATTTCCAAAAGAAGGCACTTTGTCCTGAATCTTAGGCAAGTCAATCAAAAAATTGCTGGGGGGGGGGCGTTTTTGTAAAGTCAGGGTGCAGTTCAATGAAGGAGGAGTGACAGTTGAAGCCACTCCTCTAAATGCACAGTCCTCCAAATGGAGGCAAACTATTTTCCCTAATAGAATTCAGTTTTGTACTTTCTTTTTGCTTACATATGCTTGTTTGTGCACAATTTCTCCCATACTCATGCACATGTGCGCGCAGACACACACACACACGCGCACACACACATAGAAAGTAATGACATTTTTGGTTGGAGACTTGCATTGCTGAAACTTGAAAAATCAACCCTTTTCGCGGTAGATTATCATAGTTTCAAGTTACCATCACTCACCTTTCTTGACCAAAAGGTAGATCGAAAGTACCAACACCAGAATGATACCACCCACACCGCCACATATAATTCCCCAATTTGGCCCTGCCAAAAAAAGAAGAGTAATCTGAATTAGATCATAAAGGAAAAAGGAGTCTTCATTTGGTTTCCCTCACAAAGCCAAAATTTGCCCTACCTAAATCAAGCTAGACTTGCCATACATCAAGTCTGGACATGAAAGGAAATGGCACCCTGGAGGAATTTTTTAAATTTTAAGAGATGTCTGGAATTTCCGGTACTTGTTGTTGTTGTTGTTGTCTGTCGTCATCCCCCCTGAGCAGCAGAAGGAATGTCCCCCCCCTTACATGGGATACTCAAAGCATGCTTGCGCCCCCTGCCTCCCCACGTGCAGCAGCCCACACTGAGGAGTAGGGGGCACAGAGGACAGTGGAAAGAGGGAGAGAGCAGCCCCGAGCTCCTGCCAGCCTCAAGGGAGGAAAATGAAAAGGACTCAGTTATCCTGCCCCTGCCATTGTTCCCCCTCGAGAGCTGCTGTGTCACCTTCTCAAAGCTGCTGCAGCTGCTTCCTCAAAGAGGAAAATTGCTCCCCTTTCCAGGATGCAGAGCAGGAGACGAGGTGCCCAGCTAAAAGGGAACAGGGCACCTGTGTCTACTTGCTCGGGAGCAGGTCCAAAGGAACTTACCTCCTCAGTCCCACCCTCCCAAAGCAGGGGGCAGAACCCTCAACAAGGAATCCCCCCTTCTTTCCCTGATAAAAGAAAAAGAATTGGCTCTTGGAAATGTGGGTTTTTTTAAAAAAAATATTTATTTATTTATTTATTTATTGGGGGGGGGGGGAGGCTGGGGTACCAGGAATGTTACTTTTTGAAATATGGCAAGACTAAATTTTGTAATGTGGATTTTGTAATGTGGTTTTGCCACAAAAGGGGCCCACAAAATGTCCACAGCAAGTTGAAGAGGGAGACCTTATCATTTACAAAATCTCCAGTCAGAATTGAAGTATTGAAATAGCTGCTATATAATACACATATTATCTGAGATTTAAAACTCTCGTTATTGATTAAAGTTAATCGTATAGTAGGTGTGAATGATCTATCTTGTGGCTGGTTTCTTTTAATCATTCTTTGCCCAGGCAGAAACATTATGTGACCCATGAGAGCAGCAAAATAGTCAGACTGTACAACAATGATGGGATAAAATCAGGCCAATTCTTTATTGACAGCAGCAGGCAGGGCAAGGGATGGCATGGCATTGGGTCCCAGGATCCGTTCACCATTTCACAATCCCCATGTTGATGGAGTGGATCCACTGGGTGTGCATCACTCCAAACCTGTACAATGGGATTCAGCCCGTGCTTACTGGGCACAGAATGGGACATAAAGTGATATGGTGAAAAGCTTGCACAGATAGCAAGAAAACCAGTAAGGAGTGATGCATTTCCCTGACTCTCTGTATAGCCAACTGGCTCTTTATGGCAATCATTTCTCTTTGACAAAAAAGGAGAGAAAAATCAGACATTGACATCAAGAGTGCTATCAAACTTTCTACAGTGGCAAAAATATTCTATAAATGTGGCATCAGGGTATTAACGATCTGTGATGGGAAATGAGAAAAAAAATGTTTTCTTTCCATAATTGTGTTTGAGTATAGATTGCATTATTTTGTCTTTCTGTTAAGATTTAAAATGGCATACTAAAACAAACAATAAGATAAGTAAACATTTTTACTCACTAATGCTGCTTGCTTACCATTGGAAGGACAATTACCTGGGCAGGAAAAACATGGACAATATCAGAAAAGCATGGCTCATCAACCCATCAAGAACAACAAAGCTCACATAAATGTGCTCTTATCAAGGCAGTGGTGCCAAACTGAATTGTGGATCAGAACACAACTCCTGATTGGAACACAAACTTCTCTGGATTTTGTAATGTGGTTTTGCCACAAAGGGGCCCACTTTAAATGCATTTTAATATAACATGTGTATTTTATTTGGAAATGCATTGAAAAGCATTGATAAAATGCATATTTTGAGGAATGCATACATATTGTGTACATTAATGTATATATTAAGGTGCATCATAATAATGGGTTAGATTTGAACTAGCAATCAATGGTTATGACTAAGAATCATTCATTTCAATGGGTCTATTCAAAGTATAACTTAGTTGAATGGAAGAACACATGTAACTTTTCAAGCACTCTTTAGAAAAACATGATGTGCCAAAAGAAATGAAACAGGGTGGACTTAGGCTGATCTAAGCCCCATCCCTAGAGGCTAAACACATAAATCATGAATATTTTTATCAGGTTGCAAAAGCATCACTCTTTGATAAGCTGCCTAACAGCAATGCCTATTTTTAATACACCATTAAACAGTGTCACTGGAGAAGTGTTGTCATCTCCATGCTATTGGCCAGATCCTCCAACATTGGTTGCATAGGTTCAAAACAGCACCTATTTTCATTTATATGAATATATGAATGTGCTCCAGGGAAGTCTGAACATGCTCTGTGGCTATGATTAACTGTAGTGGTAGGAGAATAGAAACCAAATGGGTGGGGAATTAAATGGACTGTGCTGTAATATGGCATGACTGGCTAGCTGGAATTCTAAAAAGGACTATTCCATCATGCAACATTCTCTTGCAGGTCCCTTCCTAGTCTGATCATTTCTACAACCTTACCTGACTGGAGAATCAGATTCCGAGCAACACTGAGGGCAGATGTCTTCACTTCGTTCTTTGCATCCTTCTGCTGGTAACCACAGGAATATTGGCCAGCATTCTTCGGCGATGCATAGACTATGTATTGAACATATTGAGATGTTGCTTTCTTGGCTGAAACAGGAGCCCCATCTTTACAGAAAAAATATCTGGTCGGCACAACCTCTGATGGAGCCACACATAGTACTGCGATAATTTCCCCTTCAGGAAACAAAGTTGAATTCCAGAATAAACCAGGAACAGGAAGTTCACCTAGAGAACGAACGAACAAATGAATGAATGGAAGAAATAACGAAAGAGCATAAATTAATGCAGAGAGTAAATGAAAATGTTTTTGCAATGGAGGGTGAACATTTGAGTTGTTGTTGTTTAGTCGTTTAGTCGTGTCCGACTCTTCGTGACCCCATGGACCAGAGCACGCCAGGCACTCCTGTCTTCCACTGCCTCCCGCAGTTTGGTCAGACTCATGTTTGTAGCTTCGAGAACACGGTCCAACCATCTTGTCCTCTGTCATCCCCTTCTCCTTGTGCCCTCCATCTTTCCCAACATCAGGGTCTTTTCCAAGGAGTCTTCTCTTCTCATGAGGTGGCCAAAGTATTGGAGCCTCAGCTTCACGATCTGTCCTTCCAGTGAGCACTCAGGGCTGATCTCCTTAAGAATGGATACGTTTGATCTTCTTGCAGTCCATGGGACTCTCAAGAGTCTCCTCCAGCACCATAATTCAAAAGCATCAATTCTTCGGCGATCAGCCTTCTTGATGGTCCAGCTCTCACTTCCATACATGACTACTGGGAAAACCATGGCTTTAACTATACGGACCTTTGTTGGTAAGGTGATGTCTCTGCTTTTAAGATGCTGTCTAGGTTTGCCATCGCCTTTCTCCCAAGGAGCAGGCGTCTTTTAATTTCGTGACTGCTGTCACCATCTGCAGTGATCATGGAGCCCAAGAAAGTAAAATCTCTCACTGCCTCCATTTCTTCCCCTTCTATTTGCCAGGACGTGATGGGACCAGTGGCCATGATCTTCGTTTTTTTGATGTTGAGCTTCAGACCATAGAACATTTGAGTAATCATGTACAATTAGATTGCTTTATCACCATTATTTTGTCTTACTGTATCGCTTTTTAGCACTTTTTTTTTTCCATGATTGTTTATTGTATACTGCTGTTAATTATTTCTTTTCAGGGAAAGTGGCATGCAAGTGTTCTACTCTGTTTTATTTATTTAAAACATTTTAATGCCACATCAATTTTTATTTAGAAATTTGAGGTTGTAAACTCTCAATTTAATTCTTGATGATGAAATGAAACAGCCCTGATCTTCTTTGATAATGAACATTTAGCATTCACCATTTGGTTTGAGCAGAGGAACACAGACACTCACACACACCAATCTCTGCAATCCTGCACACACTAGTGTGCACAGACCTGCGCAGTCTCAAACTCACCTGTAGAAGTGCAAAGCTCTGAATCTTTGTCATCACCCAAACACCAGTGATTTGCAAGCAGAGAACCTGCAATAACATCCATGCAATATGTTTATAATATGTTTCAACAAGTAAACACAAGGGCAGAGCAATAATTTAATAATTCTCCTGACCTGCTATTTTGGCTGCAGCCTTTTTGAACTGGCTTTAGTGTTTTCTAGCATCCCCGGTAATTTCTAATTATGCAAATAATGCACATATAGATGAGAGTCAATGTAAAGCCATATAATTGCCAAGTTTCCTATATGCCAGAACACCTCTTATTCTGGTGCAGTTTTTTTTTCTGTGTGCAAAAGGGTGCATGGTGTTTGAAAGAGATTAAGCAAGCATGTGTGAATGTAGAGCTGAGGAGAAATCAATAAAATTGTCTTTTCCTATGTGTTGCAGGCTGTTTCTTCTACCAGCACTTCTTTAATTTGTACATTTACTTTATGGTGTGTAACCCAGTCACCCTTAAGCTAAAATCCTTGGTTTTCTTGGAGATAGAACTTGAAGGAGGAGGAGGAGAGGAGGAGGAAGTTAGATGTTTTCATGAAATGTCTTCCACAAGTTGAAGAGGAAGGCCTTATTTCAGTTTATTTTAAAAAATGTATGTTGAAAACAGCTTGGCTATCTGCAGTGCTGGGGGGCAATCCTACCACATAATCTAAAGACATGGGCATCTTAGGATGCAGCAGATTTCTCCCTCAGCTGGGCTCACCATGCTGCTCCGACAAAGAATAAAACCCAGTCGACACAATGCATTCATCGTGGACACAATGGCTTGATGCATATTTTATAATTCCTCATAGTAATCCCACCTGACCCCACACTCTGGATATTTGCACTCCTACACTTTTCTCAATGTTTCAGTAAAAGGCCATCTTGAAGCATCTGCTTCTAGTATTTTCAACACTTTTCGATGCTGTTTCTGTTCCCATTCGCCAGATAGCCTTAGAAAGACATTGGTTTTGGGCAATGCGAGAGGATGCAGAATGGGAGCCTGGCTGCCAACTCATTTCCCACTGCCGTTAATTCACGGAATCAGAGAAAAGGAGATGGAAAATGAAAAGCTGTGCTACTTCTGGAATGTTGGGGAATTTCTCCCCCACTTCAAGTAATTACATGGAATTTTCTCACTAGTTTCTCTGTTCACTAGTAGCATGGAGAACTATAAGAGGCCATTTGTACATAACTCTCATTACTTAGGAGCCATTTCTAGAATCCTGCTATTTATCCATGAAGTGATTTCCAGAAAATGTCAAAGGTCCAATCACTGAACTATTTACCCTTTTCTTTCTTTTTAGGACAGCATTCATATACATTCACACACACACACACACACACACACACACATTATCTTTTTTAAAAAATACATTTTATTAGAGTTTATAAAGAGAAATACAAAGATTATTGTCAAATATCTATTTTTAAAATCCAAACTAAAACATTAATCTCCCCCCCCCCCACCCGCCGCCGCCAGTATTCCATCAAGATAAAGTGGATGGGACTGCAAGCCAGCAGCCCATGCCCAAGATGGAGCTAAGAAGTTGACCATATCCATGAATTCCCTTTCCAGTTTCCCAAACTTACAGAGAACCCAGAAGAGATTCATCAGGGCAGAGCAGGTGTTGGTTTGCCAATCCGATGTTTGCCCACTCTTCCCCACCTCTGACTCTCAGCTCCTTCTACTTCTCTCACAGACAAAATGGAAATCATCACGACTTTTGCAGCATGCATGCTTCTATCCCCACCCCTGGGGAACACCCCCACATGTGGCTGCAGCTACCACTCAAGGATGTATAATTTTATACCTTTCCTTCTGGTGAACTATTCAATGTATCTATGACCCTCAGGCACATTCACTTAGAGATAATATTTGATGGTCAGAAAGGCAGCTTTTCATCTGTTATCCTCTTTCCCAGCACCAGAAACCCCTCTGAAAATGAGTAGATTATTTCACATGATAGAGAGAAGATTCAGACATGAATTGCTGTGAAAGATTCATTCTAGGGAAATAAATAGGAAATCACCCCCTCCCCCCAAGGACAGTATTCCCTCAGGATAAAGTGGATGGGGCTGCACACCAGCATCTCATGCCCAAGATGGAGCTAAAGCATGTACACACCCATGCACACAAGCCACCCCCTAGGTAACATGGTCTATAAAGAGGGGAGAGTGCCTGGGCTGCATTGTGTGCGTGAACATTGGGTGCATGAAGGTGAAGTAGTCATCCTGCATGAGATAGAAGGATGTTCTCATATTAGTAACAGGGTTTGACTGATTTGTATCTATGGTTCTACAAATGAGGTTTTTAAACACCAGTAATGGCTAAAAGTAGCAGTGGCAAACATTTTTTAAAAAATGTGAAAATGGATTTCAAAAATGCCTACCAAATCATAACCACAATATGATCTATTATATTTCTAATCTAATCTAACCATTTCATTTTTTGTCTCCCATTCTAATATCAATCAGTATCTATACCTATAACCCAAGGTACCACTGTATAAACACATTTTTAAATAACTCATTAATTTCATAATATTGAAACCAATCCATTACCCATTCTTGCATTTCTTCAAACTTTTTCAATTGGCATACATTTCCAGAAAAATACAGTATGTCTCTATATCTGCCCCAATTCTCCATCATATTAAGTTTCTTTTGTGTACTAGTTTCTATAGGGGATAGCCATAAAAGTGTTTCCCTTCCAAGTAGATCTTGATATCTTGTCCACACTCCATATGCTTTGAATCATTTCTACTTCTTAGATGCAGGATTCATTGATGCCATTGGGTCTCCTCTGCTTCTCTCATTTTTGGGCACCTGTATTTATACCACTATCCTGGCTAAATGAATACAAATTTCTATCCAGGCTTTCTGCATTGCATGATTCACCCTCTCTCTACAACAATTCTTCTATGTTCCTCAACATATCTCCTTATGCTTTAGCCATCTGCAGCACATTTAATGTGCTAAGCACATTCTTGTCACATTAATGATGGTCATCCTCACTTTTGCATGTGCTTACCTGTCAGTCCATTTCCACATTGATCTACCCTTCCTGTATACCTATTGTATAAACACATTGTATAAAGTATTTCCCTTCAAAATGTGCATTTAAAAATGTTTGTGCTTTTCTTTAGCCAAACAGTATTGGATAAGTAAATAAGTAGGTATGGATCTGGATTACAATTCCCATCAGCCCCAAACAGTATGACCAAAGCAAGGGATGATGGGATTTGCAGTCAAGCACCATCTGGCAGCACACAGGTTGAGCTACCCATTACAGGATGACTGGAAGAAGCCCTAGTCAACAAACAGCAGTTTGCAGAAGTTGCTGGTTTCTCTCCAATATCCATTCTGCACATGGTTTTGCATCCTCCTCACCTCTGTAGAAGCGGGCATCTAAGAATTCTGTGAATAAAGGAATGAACATAAAGGTTTCATTGGCAAGAACGTGATGGATACTTCTACCCATTCTACAACCTAATCAATCAATGCCATGGGTTGGATCCAGATTTAACCATGCTTAGAACATACTGTTTGAAATCAGTTGGGTTTAACTTAGTTTCGACTAAATTACATCTTTTTGATTTCAATAGGTCTTTGCTATGTATGACCCAAGCCTTCTTCCATAGTGGTCAAAGTGTGTGGTGGGTCAGGAGGTGCATGTGTAAGCCCCACGCCCCCACATCCTTATGTTCATGAGCTCCTTTCTGATCTTGATGCAATGAGCATGAATGTCTAAAGGGGGCTTTAACCTGCTTTCAGTTGAACATACATGGAAGCTTTAGTGTGAGAACCCTGGCGGATTCGGATCGTGTTTAATTAAATGCTTTTTCACCCCATGAACTAAGGTCTGGAAGATCCTGTATGTAGATGGATATTGTGGGTGAGTGGGCAGGTGGGTGGGTGGATTTAATAAACCACCCTTTGTAAAAGACCACAATCAAAACAACTATTATAATAAGTATTTCATTAAAATATATATTCTAAAAGCGTAAGTTAGTATCTACTCATCTCAAGCACAACTATAAAGCATAATATAATATATTTCTAAGATGAGGAAAATGCAGCACTGACAGCTTTTTCAAAACTCTGCACAGATATGATATGAAATGAAATTTAGCAGCTGCTCAAATCCCCTTATGTCCAAAACTGATGAAAATTTGATAATACAAAAACTTGAAGTGTGTCTCCTCTTTGGAACACACCCTTTTTGGTTAATTCCTGGACTAAGTGCAAAGAGTGGTTGTGGCACGTGTGGTATTTTTATGATTCAGGAATATGAAGAAGAGAAGAAGAGTTTGGATTTGATATCCCGCCTTTCACTCCCCTTCAGGAGTCTCAAAGCGGCTAACATTCTCCTTTCCCTTCCTCTCCCACAACAAACACTCTGTGAGGTGAGTGGGGCTGAGAGACTTCAAAGAAGTGTGACTGGCCCAAGGTCACCCAGCAGCTGCATGTGGAGGAGCGGAGACGCGAACCCGGTTCCCCAGATTACGAGACTACCGCTCTTAACCACTACACCACACTGGCTCTCAATATATATTTTTGCAACACATATACAAAATGTTAGACTACTTGTCTTTTTCGATCTTCAAGATTTCTGCAAAAGAAAATTTGCATGGCTTAGAAATGAAGAGCCTCATTCACATAAAAAAGAAAAACACATTCCAAGACACGCAGATTGCAATCTAGAATTAGTAACAAAGACTTGTACCCAAAGGACCTCTTCCACTGACAGAAGTCTTCTTCTGTCAAATGTTTAATTTATGTTTTAAAATTTGCATGTTGTATATTTTATTGTTGTAAGATCCTTTGATACCTCTATAGGATATGCATTTTATAATAAATAAATAAATAAATATAATACCCCTTCTTCAGAGGAAGGGAACCTTTGGTTCAGGTTGAGTCAAAATGAAGGGGAGTAGGGTAAAGGGGAAAATATTTTAAGTGGGTGCATAACTTGCATCGGTGGTTTTTCTTAAGTTTTGGCGTCAAAAGTGCCTCTTTTCTCTTTTCCGATTTTTAGAGACAGAGAGCACTGCTAGCTGC